AGGATCTTGACTTTTTCCTTGAACTGTGAACTTAAATAAAACCTTTCTCCCTTAAGTTGCTTATGTCAGGGTATTTTATCACAGTAACAGAAAAAACAACAACAACAAAAAACTCCAAAAAACAAAACAACTAAGAAAGGAGTGGAGTTGTGAGTGTGCTGAGCTTAGGCATTACTTACTGAAATATGATTTTTAATTATTAATAGTGGCTAGTCTCAGGCTGGTAAGAACTGAGTGGACTTGCCCAGGCCTCTCAGTTTCAAAAGTTATACCAACATGCTTTCCTGCAGTTTTTGGTCTGCCTCGTGGTTTATTTTGATAGACTTGATTATGTGGTTTTAGAAGATGTTCTGTTGGAACTACATTTGTGTGGGGTGCACATAAGAGCATGTGAATTCATGAGCAATTGCATATATTATCATATATATATGTCTACATACATACATGTAAATTCGGTTTCTGATATCAAGTTCTAGTGCTTTGACCATTCAGTTTTATAAAGGAAAAAAAAAAAAAAGATTGATTTTTGTTACTCTGTCCTAGAACATCTTGCAGCAGTTACTTTTTTTTTTTTTTGATTTGTCTTTCCAACACTGTTCGTACTAAGCCCTTTAGTGATTGAATTTTAGATGCTTCCTATCTGGATCACTCTTTACACGTACAGACTGCACTTAATCACCTTTTGTTTCATTGTGTGTACTATTCGTTTCTACTTGCTAAGCTTTATTTTTGTAGTTTGAGAAATTTTGACTGTTCCTGAGCATATGAAAGCAGTTAGCCTTATTCTAGATTTGTTGTAGCACTAGACCATCACCAGGCCAGCTGTCCAGTACCACTGTTGCTTGATCAACATGGAAAATGATAATAAATAACTCTCAGCGCTCTCTCTTAATAGAAGACATTCTGGTGTAACTCACTGACAGTTCTGTTCTTGTGAGCATCAGTATGCTGATCCTAAACTCAACTTGACTAAACATTCTGTCTCTACTCTAGCTGACTACTCTTGTGCATTCCTTGGGTGGGGGGAGTATGTACAGCCCCCTTTTAACACCCTGTTACTTGTTTACATGCCGCTCTCCTTTATTAGATTCTATTTATTAGATTTATTTATTCTCCTTTTGGAAGGGTCCATCCTTGAATCACCAGAACCTGGTACAATGCCTCTAAAATAAAGCTCGAAGAGGGCAGGACCACTGCATCCACACCTAGGCCAGCACCTGCTTTGTGGATCTGCACTCAGTGCCTATTTATTGTTGAATAAGCCAGTGTCAGTAACTGGTGGTCAGTAAATATTTGCCGAGTTAATACATTCATTTGTGCTTATGTAATGTGTTTCATAGGCAAAAATCGCATTGTTCAATCCTGCAGATGCAATGGCTGTTCAAGGGGAGATGGGGGAGGGACAGAAGGGAACTTAGGCCTGGATTTGCTTATCAGCCTTAACCCCCTCTCTGTAACTCAAGAACACTGAAAACCTGATCATGAGCCAGTTACAAGGTAAAATTTTCAAACAAGTTATTTGTTGAGAAAATAGGTTATAAGGAATGGAGAGTAATTTTAGATAAAATGAATCCTTTTAGCTATGAAGTTTGGCACACTGAACTGTATATATGTGTGTGTGTGTATGTATATGTATAAATATTTTACCCTTTGTGAAATTAAGCAATGCCACTCAAAAAACTCTTATAAATTTGTTCTTATATCTCAAACTGTATCTCAAGATATTTATTAAAGAGAAAAAGGAGCAAACTACCTATGATTTTTAATTTTCATATCCTTTAACTTTTCAGTTTAGGCTTATCTCCTATTTCAAGTATTACAAATCATTTTAAGGAGCTCAGGAATCCGAGGTCCTTATCACTCGTTTTCTGCCTCCGTTAATAGATAAATATTGTTTCCATTTGCCTAGAAAGGAAATCTGATAGTTGAAGAAGTAATTAAGACTACAGTCACTAATTTCAAGAATAAATAAGCTATATTTATTTGAACAAAATGAAACCAAACAAAAAACTGAACAAAACCTTACCTGCTCTGCCCCAAGTACATCTCATTGGCTTGCACCTGCATAAAAGATGGGACCAAGAGGAGTAGGGAGAGGGCTTGACCATCCACGGAGAGACAGACATGGTGAGAGGCAGACGGTGGCAGGAGCTGGAACAAGCGAGGAAGGTCCCACCATGTGGCACCAGCTTACTTTTTAGAGTCCACTTTTTTTTTTTTTTTTTTCCTTTTGAGAAGGGATCTCCCTGTAGCCCCAACTGGCCTGGAATTCACTATGTAAATCAAGTTGGCCTCCATCTCACAGAGATCCACCTGCTTCTGCCTCCTGAGTGCTGGGATTAAAAGCATGCACCACCATGCCCAGCCCGGAGTCCAAAGTTTTGTATCCCATTATCAATATGTTGGAGACAGAGGATTCAAATAGACTGCTTTCTTCCAAGTTGTTATTTCATTTGTTTGCTTATTTATTTTGAGACACTCTAATGTAGCTCAGGCTGGCCTTGAACCTGCTATGTAGCTGAAGATGACTTTGAACTTGTGATGATCCTGCCTCCACCTCCCAAGCACTGAGATTATGGGGTATGCCCTTATGCCCCTGAGCTTCTTACATGTTGTTTCTTTCCACTACTTCTGATAAACTGTTATATCCCCCTCTGATTCCTGAATTTTCATTTATTTATATTTATTTATTTATTTATTTATTTTATGTGTATGAGTATATTGCCTGCATGTGTGTAAGTGCACCTGTGTTGTGCAAAGCCCGCAGAAGTCAGAAGAGGACATCGAATTCCCCTGGAACTGGAGTTACACATAGGATTAAAGGCCTGTGCCACCACCCCCGGCTGAATTTTTTGTTTAAGAAAAAAATCTCCCTGTAACCCCATCTAGCCTGGGGCATACAGTGCAGACCAGGCTGGCCTCAGTCTCATGGAGTTCTGCCTGCCGTGAACTCCTGAGTGCTGGAATTAAAGGTTTGCTGCCATGCCTGGCGATCCTTTTAAAGTGTCTCTTTGATTTACTATTTGCTTCTTTTGGTCGATTCCTTATTCTGACCCCTTTTCAGGGTCACAAGCCCCCCAGTCTGAATGTTTCAAATGAGGGTTGGTCCGGAGATCCCTACTACTTTTGGTCAACCTTGTAGATGTCCTTGGGATCTGCCTTGAGCTATGGCTCAGATGAGAAGCAGAACCAAGTGGAACTGCAGAGGAAAACGGACCAACTAAGCTGTGCAGCCTGGGCAGTGACTGCGTTAGCTGTGAGGACCAGACCAGCCTGGGGTGCTGTACAGAGATAGTCATGGATGTACGTGCGGAGGCTTTTAAGTGAGGTTGGTATGATGCTGTCAGATGATGCCCTCAAATCACCACTATTAAAACTGTCAGGTTGGGTGGGGAACTATCCCACTCATTCCTGCACATTTTCTCCAGACAGCTAACCGGTTCTACAGATAAAGCATGGTGGCTGTTTATTTTCCTTCATTCCCTCACATGGGCTCTGAAAGAACAAAGACTAAGGTCAGTGAACTCAGCACTTAGAACAGGCTCTGCCACTTTGTCAGTAAATATTTGCTCACTAAGTATTAGTGCCCTGGGCAAGCATCCTCATGTTCCCACAACCCTCTTCTATGCTGAACAGATCGATCTGCTGATCGATCATCTTATTGGCTTGTGTTTCTTGTGAGCGTTGCTCCCTGATCTCTCTGAGCCTCTGTCCGTTATGTGTCAATAGAATATTGTAAGATTTTATAATAAAATGATGAAGTGTTTGGAGAGACATTGCTAAGGTCTGTTTGTGTCCCTCCATAAGTCATCCTAAAATCAAATCCCCAATGCCTTGGTGTTTGGAAGTTGGGCTTCTAAGTGACGAGAATGGCAGAGATGTTAGTGGTCTTACTACAGAGGTCCAGGGAAGCTTTTCACTTCCTACCCTTGCCATGTGAGAACACTGTAGGAAGACATCATCTACGAAACAGAGAACCCTTATCAGATACGGAATCTGCGACTCCTTGACCTTCTTTCCCAACCTCCAGAACTGTGAGAAGGGCTGGAGAGATGGCTCAGCGGTTAAGAACACTGGTTGTTCTTGCAGAAGACCTGGGTTTGAATGCCAGCACCCACATGACAGCTAACAACTGTCCATAACTCCAGTCCCAGGGGATCCAACAGCCTCTTCTGACCTCCATGGGCATTGCACGACATGGGTGCACTTACCTACATGCAGGCAACACATGCATACACATAAAATAAAAATAATAAAATATTTTAAAAAACTGTGAGAAATAATTCTTATTTATTTTTGGTGTTTCTTTTTTGAGTCTCCCTGTAGCCCCAGCTGTCCTGGAACTCACTATGTAGACCAGGCTGGCCTTGAACTCACAGAGATCTGCCTGTCTCTGCCTCCCAACTGCTAGGATTAAAGGTGTGCACCACCACACCCAGCCTTCTTATTGTTTTTAAACTTCCCAGACTAAGGCATTTTGTCATAGTAGCCTACATGGGTTAGAACAGTCCTTTTCTGGATGAATGTCTGTCTGACGTTCTTACTCTTGTCTTTCAGCATCTCCTCCTTTATCCCTGGCCTCATAGAATCATGGCTTTCTTTACCTCAGGGTCAGAGGTTAAGTGGGGAAGAAATTAACAATTTTGTAATGCTTATTCATTTTCACTATAAGAATCGCAAGAAGTGAATGGCCTAACTATAAAGCATACAAATCTGCAGTTCAGAGTAGCATTGCCACAAGGCCGAGCTGCTAAAGGAGGAGAGGAGCCATCCAGTCTCTACCTCCTGCAGGGGAGGCAGTGGTGAAGACCTTATGAAATGTAAGGTGCAAGGATAGGACAGGATGATGTAGGGGGAGACACTTCCTGAGACACTGTGGCAGCAGAGAACTTTGGCCTCCCAGGGGTAGGACTGAGCCCCCTGAAAAAGAAGTGACCATTCTGCAGGGCTCCTTCCCAGTTCCTTGTTCAAGAAGACAAGACAGAGGCAAAGAATAGGTACGACAGGGTGTAAAGTTTATATACAAAGAATATAATGTTTATCTGAAATATTTACAGTGTTGGTTAAAGCAATATTTTTACAACTTTTTTAAAGGTAAACTATGTATATTACAGGTAGGCTACAATGGTTTAATTCGCAAAAACGGAGTAAAAAAACGTCTTAAACAAAGCTTAAAGTACTCAAGTCAATTTATAAAATTTATTTACTTGGCCCTTGGTTTGAAGGCATCATGCTAGGAGGAATGGCTAATGTGCTTTTTATAAGGTGAAATTCTGTAGTGGAATGTGATACATGCAACACTCTGAGCAACAGTTTAAGTTCCTAATGAAGGTGTTCAATGACAAATGAAATGTGGTAAGACTTAGGCACCCAGTCTTAGGCTGGAGCCGAGGAAGGTGTTGAGATAACAGCCCGCTTTATCTCAACCAAGTCTATAACCCACAAGTTTGGGCCACAGAGAAAAATGAAACACTTTGCATGTGAACCTCAGTGCACAGTAAAAACCAAATGACTGACCAAACAGGGAAAATGCTAAGTCACAGTGCCATCTATTCAAAGCTAACCTTAAAATGAACTATTTTAAAACTTCATAAAATATTCGTGATTTTATTAGTTTGAATATTTCTACAAGATTTGGGTGGGCTTTTGCTTTATGTGAAAACAGCTCTCCATTCCTGAGGCCTTCTAGGGCCTTATAACCAGGACATGCTGGGGATACACAAATGCAAGAGCAAGGCAAGCTGCTCCAGGCTGAGGCTGGGGCTGGAGCTTCCTGGACTGTGCTTGGGAAATGAACTGAGGTCGCAGAGCAGAAGTGGTCCACTGAGCCCCGGGCCTGGCTAGCGGCAAGCTGCGCATGGCAGGAACTAGCACTGCAACTTTCGGATGCTACGGGAGATGCGCTTGAACTCTCTCTGCCCCTTCTGCCACCGCTTTACTGAGGTGATCACCAGCTCCCCACCCTGTTTCTGTCCCATAACCAGATACGGCGCATTGATGTCGTTCATCTCCTCACAGGTACACTGCAGGCTGTCTTTGAGCCACAGCACAGATTTCTTCAGGTCCCTTTCGGACACACCGTTCAGCTTATAAATGGTCTTGCTCTTGGTCTCTAGAATGATTTTGGTATCTCTGTTGATGTAGGTTATCTCCTTCACTTTGATTTTCAGTGCTAAGAAGAAAAGAGGGGGCAGGAAAAAAAATCACAAGTTATGATGATGAATACAGTGTAGACTGCACACTTTTCTGCATATTCTGTGACTTGGCCTATGGGAGGGAAAGGAAGCTTCCTGGTAATAAAGATACAGGCTGCAAGTAGGTTCTTGGGGGCTGGATGAAGCCGGTGGCTTCATTTCTAAAGTCTCAAAGCACTTGCCAGGCACTTTGTTTCAAATCAGCCATCCTTCCAGAACTCTCTTACAGGACCCTGTTAACTTTCCTCCTCATTCCTTGCCCTTGTGTTTGTAAGTAGGTTGGCATGTGGTTCTTGCTATGCCCGGCATATGTGTTCCCCTTTGGGAAAACTTGAGCACGAAGAGAAATGCCCAGCTCTTAGGTGAAACATGAGCCTTCTGTGGCCACAAACATTAGACCCGATTTATGATGTCGGAGAGGTTTTTGGACAAACCTGTAAGGAAATTGTATCATGCAATCATTGTTTTCTAAAGAACAGATTACAGGGAGAATTGATTTTGCATCTGTATTTAATTTGGTAAAGAAATGAGAAAAAAATATGCAAGACTCTTTTTAAGAGCATGACATGTTTAACCATAAAAGTGTTTTTCTGAAGACTTCATCCTCATATGCTCTCATTTTCCTGTCCAAGGCCAAGGCATTTACAGATCATATATGTTCTGTTTCCAAACTGTGTATGTAGGGTCATTAGAATGTTAGGACCAAAAGTAAGTTGTTTACTATAAAAGACACGTTTTATAGTCATGAACAGTATGCTTTGAGAAAGAAAACCTTACAAGCACACATGCTGGGATTAAATTTCAAGACTGTACGAATGCAGGAAAAAGAATTTTTAGGTTAGAAAGGGTCATCCCATTAACATCTCATTAGTACATGAAGACTCAAATCCAGACAAGTGTCTGTGACTTGTATCGGGCCACCCAGGTAGGTTGTGTCCTAGCTTAGTCTACCACTCAGAATCCCAGTCCTCAAGCCTCCTTCTGTAACAGCACTGTGTTCTCTTGAGACAGTGGCAGACTTCTGTCCTGGTGGAGCACTGAGTTGCTCAACTGCTGTGTTGACACTTGATGCCCCTGACAGCTGTAATGGATGACATGCATGTATGACTTTTTGACTGTGATATGGTTTAATGCACTGTTTAAAATTAGTAGTAGAGGAAGATTATGTGTGTGTGTGTGTGTGTGTGTGTGTGTGTGTGTGTGTGTGTGCGTGTGCGTGTCTTTGGTTTTCTTTTCATTTAAAAAAGTCTCCGACAGGAAATTTGACTAAGTATGTTGTTCCAGCCAACAAGGACATGACAGAAACTCAACTAGGCAAACCAAGGATACTGTGACTTGGTGAATAATGGTTTTGTTTGATAGGAGCCCACCTGAACCAGAGTTCTCAGAGTTAATGGGCTTAATGGGCTTTGAGCTTATGGAATAAGCCATGTGGAAATGTCACATGTTCTTGTGGCCTCTCAGGGGGTAGGAGAAGAGCTGCCACCGTAGGGGTGAGTTGAACTGATGATACATCACCAAGGAGCCTAGTCTCCTTGGACACAGATGGAGCCTGAGCAAATTTTCACCTGGTCAGTGAAATGTGTTTGGGCTTCAGACACCAGAAAACCATCACTTTGAACTAGAAGGAAGCATAGTCCTTACCTTTCTCTAGCTTTAAAATTCGTACCACGAGTTCCTCCTTAGATTTTAAAGCTGAGATGAAACACAGGGAATCACAGACCCCAAATAACATTCCTACTCTGGGAGATGTGACTACTGATAGAGGATGTGATACTGGCACAGGTGGTGTTACCTGACCTAGTGACATGCTGCATTCATAGTCCAGTTTCAAGTCATTCTTTATTCACTGGTACCTGCACCACAGAAGTAAGATGTTTTGAATTTCTGTTTCAAGGGTGCAGTAGGGAACAGTGCTTTGCCTTCCAGGATGATTCAAGTCAAACAAATCCCATTGCTAAGCTTGTTCTTTTACCTAGGACTCCCCAAAGAACAATGGCAATATGGAATACTGCTTTTAAATGAAAGTGTAGTATGCCCTTCCTGAAATTCAGATTCTTTTTCCCGTTATAGGTCAAAAGGAGTGGGGAAATAGGAAGCAATGCTCACGAGGTATCTGCGTGTGTGAAAAGTTTGAGTTGCTGTGGTTTCCATGTTCATAGAAAGGATTTTCTCCATGCAGCAGACTCACATTTTTTTTTTTCCTTCAGACCTTGATGGGACACTTTAGAAAGGTTTTCTTTTGTAAAATAAGCCACAAAGTCAGTGAGTATTATGTATATGTATGCTTCTGAAATTCAGATGGAGGATTCTTCTTCAGAGAGGATTCTTTCATGTAGTGCAAAGGTTATAAGCTGCCAGAAGTAAATATTTTATGGAATTTTAATACAATTTTTACTAAATGATTATCTGTCTTGTTCTTAATTAAGTCTTGCTACATGGAAGTTAAGGACTGTGTTTTGGTGAGGCTCTAGAGATTGAAGATTATCCACTATTAACATGCTTGGCCCTGAGATAGTCTGAGATTTGTATGCTTGAATACAGATCCACAGAGCCTTATCACCTTGTTTGTGGCTCTTCCTGCTGGGGAGGGTTGTTGGTTAGGACTTGGAGCTGCTTTCTGTCTTTCTCCTTCCTCATCAGTGTGAAGCCTTTTCTCGTGCCAGGGCTGCAGTCTGGGAGCAGCCACAGTTCAACCCAGGACATTTTCTGAAGAGACCTGGAGCTGATGAAGAGTGGTGACCAGGACTGTTCCCAGAGTTCAGGAACCTAACTACCTGAGATTTCAAGGATGGCAAGGTGTTAGCATGGGAGGCTGTCAACAGTGGCAGCTAGGAGCAGTTACCTCAGTCTTAAAGATTTGTTGAGCGTATAGAAATGTTAATTTGGATCTACTAGAGTCCTTGTTAAGTTATATACTTACCAATACCTTCAGAGTTCTAAATGAATGATACTTGTAAGAGATACCAACCACATTAACACAACCAAAGGTATCTATTAAAGTAACAGTGCAGCCTGGGTGAAGTCCCTGACCACTTCCAACCCTGAGCTTTGATCCGGTCTCTAGCTAGTCGTAATTTACCATCAAGGGGCGGGGTGGGGGGGTATGGACAGCAGGTAGGTGCAGGTGGAGTTCTTTGTAGATAAAGTCTCTAAGTATCTTTCCTTCTACAATCTATTAAACGGAATGACTGTTTATGTTTCTTGGGTGATGTCACATGTGTTTTGAAAATTTTTTCCTTAGGTCCCCAAGCACTTTTCTAACACGACCTCTTTTACCTAACTTGAAAAACTTTCTTCTAAGTTTCTCCTTTTCTAACTATCTGTAAAATGGTAACAGGGCTAAAAAATAGAGGAAAAATGTTTTTACGTGATGCCAGGGCAAGTGTTTATTTGGGGCCTGTTTAATGTCTTGAATATACTTTACTGAGGGTTATATTCGAATTCCCATTGCTGCTACACATATAGAGTGACTGAAAAGAGAATATGGCCCAGGATTCTGCTTGTTGGCATAAAAAAGTCAAAACGAGATTAGAAATATGTCTACACACTGGTAATCTGAGAAATTTTCACTTGATTATTGTTTACGAAAACAGTGACTCACAACTAAAAAGCTGTAACTCAATACAAGATGGTTACATATATTGGGAAGTAAGTGAATAAGATGACTTTAAGGAACATGAATTGGGATCATATTTTACTCAGCCTGTATTTAGCAGCATCTTAATGATTTGTACTCTTAATTTTCCTGCTAAATAAAGCTTTTGGATGTGAAATTTGTTGTTGTTATATTACTTACCAAAATCATTTTTACAGAGAGTTTCCATTATGTCGTTGTCATCATCGTTTTTATTTTTGCAGGCTTCACATACCTTCGGAGCTAGAAATGTGAAAGGCAGTGTTTAGAAAGTTTGCTTTATCCGGGAACAGCAGGTGGCGTTTGTAAACAACTCAAAGGGACTTACCCAGGCAAGAGCAGCCATAGTCCTGTAGGACCCCTGCTTCTGCCTCTACAAAAACAGGATCACTCATGCCTGAGTGCTGTGCTTCCCATTTGGGGTTGGACAAAATGAGACTTACCACGTGCTGTGGTTAAGAAGTGATGACTCCCAAATTAAAAGGGAGTTGTGGGCAGTGTGTAGGCATGTAAGATAACTGGGAAGGTTGCAGCTTTTCAGTTCATCCTCACCTTTCAGACTAATTGAGTATGTTATTCCCAAAGTTTCTATTGAGAATGTGCCAAAAGACCCCAAACCCTTGAGGGACTTGGAAAAAAAGTATAACCATGAAGTACAGCAGGAAGATTGTCCTCACCTGTAGGACACCAGGGTAGCCTGTTCTGGTCAGGAGGGCCCTGGGTCTCAGGAACATTTAAAGATACTTTTGCCTCTAGGCTGGGAAGGGTGGCCAGAAGGGAAGGCAGCCGCAAGGACCCTCTTTGGAAGCACATCTCAGCAATTCCAACAAGGCCCATCTAACTGGCTCTGCTTTGCCTTGTGCTTCTGACACTTTTGTGTTTGACTTAAAATTTACTTCATTGTTATCCACAGCCCCTTGGTACAGGTGCTTCTTGCTCATCCTTGCCTGTTTAAGCAAGCAAGGGAGTGTTTCTGAAACAAATCAAAACGAATCCTTTGACCAAACCTAGGAATTTTGTGTGCCTGAAAAACTATCATAAAAGCCTGCCTAAGGCACTTGTAAAAGAATCTGATTTTTCGGGGGGGGACCCCCAACAACATGATCTTTCTCTCATTTATAAATAAGTGTAATGCTGTCTTTAAATTTTAGATGCAGTTAGGTTTTCACTAATATGAAACAGAATTTTCACAGAAAAAAATTACTCATAATTAGAAAAGTTACTTATTAATTTAAAAACACTAAGATTTTGAAGAACACAAAGTTTTGTTTAAGGGAAAGTGTTTAAGGGAAGGCACAGTGTTTGTGTTGATAGTGGAAAGAAAAACAAAAGCAACTCACACAAGACTGCCTTAACTCTACCCAACCAAAGTAAAACATTTCCAATTAGGAGGCTTAGAATGTATATAAAATGTTACTAACCTGTATTGGTTACTCTATGGTATATGTTGGACAAATGTTTGAAAAATGCCAAACATTTGCAATAAATTAGAAATCTAACCAATAAGATGATTGCAGACTTATGGTGCCTGCCAGGAAAGATTGCTAAACAACTTTGCATTTTCTTTAACTAATGATGTCTGCAGGAAAACAATTAGAGATTGAAAGGGAGATGCTGCTAGAGCCCTGAAAGGGATTAGGAAGCCCTCTTTCTATCCCAGGGGGCCCAAATCAGCTCAGACACATTGTATACTTTTTCCTTTCAGGAGGAATATCAAGAGCCCATGAGGTTTTCATTGCTTTGATGGTTTTTGCACAGGAACTTCCCTGTTTTCTAAAAACTTGAGGGAACTCTTTTGCATGATTTTCTCCAGCTAATTAAAACCACTCCTGAGATAAAAGCCGGTATCCATAGAAAGATGATTCCTGGATTCCTGGATATTCCCTTCAATCCTTCTTCCTCAAACACCTGGGCAGTTAAAACAGATATTCAATGTTCCATTCACTCAGAGTCAGTCCTGGTTTAATCTCCAAAACCTCAAAGTAGCTTAAAAAGTGATGTGTTTGTGCATCATGATTAACTTGCCTGCATCCCGCCCAGTGGGGCAGGAACGTGTGCAGAGTGTAGGTAGAGAGCCTCTGGCCTCAGTGCTCAGCACTAGGGCAGGACCACGCCGAACGCTTTCAGAAGCGTGGCCCCGGAACAAGCATCTTCAAACAAGAATTGTTTATCTATAAAGAAAGCCACTTTTTACTTGGTTTTCTTAACTATCCCTAAGGATAGCCGGTCTAACTCGGGAGGGGCCTTAGATTAGGGGTGGATATCTCAAATTCGATACAGGCTTGTGGCAAAAGACCACGGGAGAGAGATGGTACCATATTCAAGGCTGATATCCCCCAATGGGGACCAACTCGGAGATAGGGTAGAGGCTGCAGGGCGGGGGTGCCGTCTCTCAGCGCCTAAACCCAGCAGGGACAGGGAGGGATGGAGAGGGAAGGCTTACCTTCCTCGGTGGCCGGCAGGAGGTGGTCGCTGCTAGCCAGGGGGATGCAGAGGTCATTGTCCTGGGGAAAACGGTCACACTCGAGCATGTCGGGCCAGGGGAAGCCGAAGGCGGACATGACCGGGGCGCAGCGGTCCTTCACCTGCACGCAAAGCGAGTGGCAAGGCTGAATGGTCTCGTCTAGGTCGTCGAGACAGACCGGGGCGAAGAGCGAGCATAGGAACTTCTTGGTGTCCGGGTGACACTGTTTCATAACCAGCGGGATCCAGGCGCCCGCCTGCTCCAGCACCTCCTTCATGGTCTCGTGGCCCAGCAGGTTGGGCAGCCGCATGTTCTGGTACTCTATGCCGTGGCACAGCTGCAGGTTAGCCGGGATCGGCTTGCAATTGCTGCGCTTGTAGGAGAAGTCGGGCTGGCCGAAGAGGAACAGCCCGCGCGCGGAGCCCAGGCAGCAGTGCGAGGCGAGGACCAGCAGCAGCAGCGAACCAGGGCCCTGCGGCATCGTGGACCAGCGACCCCCGGGGGGCGGATGGGGCAGAGCCGAGGAAGCGCGAGGCAGCCTGAGCCCGAGCTCGTCCCGGGTCCTCTCGTTTTGCTCGTGGGCTTGGAGAGCCGGGCACTGGGAAAACCGCGCAGGCGAGGTGCTGGAAGCCCGCGCACAGCTCCGGGGGGCTCCGACCCGGGGGAGCAGAGTGAGCCGCTGCTGGGGCCCAGCCGGAGTTTTCTTGGTCTTTTTTATGCAAATCTGGAGGTGGAGGGGGGGCGGCAAGGGAGGAGCCAGCGGAGAGTAATCTGAGGAGGGCCGGTCACTACTTTTTGGCTGGTTTGGCTTTGAGAATGCCCCTCACGCGTTGGATCCCCCCGCCCCCCGCAGACGTCGCTGCTGCTGCGCGCGCGCTGTGCGCTTGCTATAGACAACAGACCCTCGAGGCAGTTGCGCCCCATCGTCAGCGAGCGCAGAGCGAGACTCGGGGACACGCGGGGTGCAGGGCTCAGGGTCCCGCTGCAGGGTCCGTGTGGGAACGCCCCCCCCCGGCGCGACGGGGCGGGGGATTGTTGTGTTACAGCCTGAAGTCCTCGAGTGGACCTCAGCAGCACTGACTGAGCCCGCGGCAGCCAGAAGCCCGCAGTCCCAGGGCTCTTTGTGCCCTGGAGCTCGGGCCCAGGACTGCATGCGGCCTAGGGTAACTTCGGTTCATCCAATCTCCAGCCAGAGTTGAGCAGGCTGGCCCATGCAGTGTGCTTCGCCTGCCCTTAGACGTCATTTGAACTATAAAGCGAAATAGTAGTATTGTATTGGTTTGCTGCTTTGTTGGGGTGTCTATAATTGTAGAAGAAACGTCTCTGCAGTCTTACCAGCAACGCAGGTTTGCCACCACCCCCACCTTTTGGAGAAGAGACTTTGACCTTTGAAGGAGGTGTCAGGGCTTGAAGGCGTGACAGGGCCTTACAGAAATCCATGGGAGGGGGCTCAGGATTGTCGCCGGATAGTCCCCAGGGCACAATTGGAAGTTATGGGTACCGAGAATAGGAGGCAAGTTGAGAAGGAGCGGGCAGAGCCCTGCCTAGAGATCCAAGAGCGCCTGTCCTCCCCAGAACAATTGATTCATTCATTCTATACCAACCAGGGGCGCCATCCTGGGCTCCGGGTAGGAGAGGTGAGCCAGCAGGCCAGCCTCTGCTGTCTGGAGATGGAATCCTAGTGCCTGAGGACTGCAAAGGGTGATAAAGGACAATAAGATGTCAGGCAAGGAAATGGGGGCAGGGGGGCACCCATCAACCTGCTCCTCCGGGCAGGGCAGTCAGCCTCCCTTTCAGTGTGGGACCAGCGGATACTGAGTTGTAAACACCACCCCCTTCCCTAACCAGCGAGGCTTTTTCATATGCAAGCTAACCCCCTTGTAACTCCACGCCACTTTTGAGCCGTCCACCCGCTCTGAACAAGGCTGCCGGATTTCCATTTTCCTTTCTTCCAGAAGACCCGCAGTGGCTCCACATTTTGTGGTCCCGCAGTTTATAGGAAGAGGTTAAGGAGTGGTGAAGGCCTACCAGGTGCTATTTCCTACCCACTCCTGGCCATAGACACGCAGATAAATGCCATCTGGAGGGAGCGCATCTTGAGTCTCTAAAAGCCCAACTTGCATCTTTAACCCCTGTGACTCACTGCTCTGCAGGGGAAAGTCCGAGTTGGCCTCCAAGCATTGGGCTCTAGGTCTTTCCCCGTCCAACTAAATCACCTTTAGGCTTAAAGTTTCCTCTCCCTAGATACAAACTAGTTTGAAAGTAAACCTCGAAGGAAATACAATCAGGTTAAATCAAACAGCTCCGCAGAGCCCGAGCGATGAGATACTAAGACTTGGGCCCGGGTGGTATAAGAGCAATCTGGCCCCCACGGGCCTGAATCCCCAACGCGCTCCCCTGGGGCATCTTGGGCGCGCAGATCCCGGGGTGGGGGCTGAAGGTGCGGGAGCCCGGCGTGGTTTAAGTCACGTGCTGCTGTGTCGGGGTAGCAGCCGGCAGCTCTGGCTGGTCTAGGCATTGTTTAGGAGCCCGCGCCGCCCCTCTTGCCGCCAGGGGGCGCCCGAAGTCGTGCCGGGGTCTCGGCCACCGCGGCTCAGAGTCCCGCTCCCGCCGGCCTGGATGCCCGGCCCACAGGGCAGTGCCACCATTCAGTCTCGACCCCTCCCAGCCGGCTGCATCTTCTGGTCTCCAGCTGTACGCTCTCGTATCACCTGAGGCCCAACGAGTGCAGACCCAGGAGACCAGCCAGCTGCTGGGAAACCGGGCAGTGAGCTCCCGCTGCGCTGGTACCGCTCTGTGTGCCAAGCACAGCCCAGGGACGCTCGGCCACTGCCCCCGCGGGGCTTTCTGAGCGAACATATCTGGCTGTGAGGAGCAAAACCCAGGAGAAGCCTGGGTTAACCCGGGCTCTTCTCCGCTCCCTGTTGATCCCTCTGGTCCACAACTTTTCTCCCCACCTTGCAATTTATCCAAATCAGCCAAAGGCCTTTGTCTTGGAGAGTCCAAGTTGAGCTCTACCTGCCTATTTTATACCGGTACGCATCAGGAAGGGAAGCTAGTCACCCATGTCTAGTTAGTAAAGGTGACGGATGTCTACCCTCTCAGGATCAAACTGCCACGGCCTGGCATCCTGCTTAAAGGGGACTGCGCTTGGGTCTCTAGAGGTAGGTAGATAGATCTCCCCTCACTTCTCCCGGCTCACAGTGAATAACCCTCAGCTCAAATACTGCAGGCCTAACACAGAACCTCCACAACTTCCCTCCCTTTGGTCCCTGGGGTCTCCCCACCCCCGCCCCCACGTCCTTAGGGCACTGAGGGACAAAGAAAGACCCCAGTCTTTCCAGGACAGTTCTGTTGCTTGGCTAATCCTGTGCTGATGGCTAGAGTTTCAGGGCAGACAAGACCTTCAGTCTCTTGCTCAAAGATGCTGGGGAATCTTCAGGCTCTGAAACCTGTCTCCCCTATTCAGCATCCTCGAAGCGGTGGGGGCCAGATGCTGGTAAAGCGAGCTTCCCTCCTGCGTCTTGGGAAGGTATCCTGGAAGCATAAAGCTCTGAGAAGGAAAGCAAGAAAGCGAGGGAGAACCCGTGTATGTTGTTATCTTAATTCCCACGATCCAGCCTTGGCTGCGGAGGGCGCAGACTCGAATTAGAAACTAGCTTTTTACCCTCCGAAAGTCTGCACACCGACCTATCCTTCCTTTAGATGGGAAAGTTTGGGATAGTAAATTTCAGTGTTCTTTATTAATGTGCCAGGCTTTGAGGGTGGGATATTAGGCTGTACCACAATTTCCCAGCCAAAATGAATGGTCTGGAGCAGCCCAGAGTAGGGTGACCCACGAGGCATAAGAGGTTGCATCAGTAGCCTGACCTGGGTCACCTTGTCTATGAAAATCCTCACTGCCACCCAGAAAATGGCAGTGATTATTATATTTAATTTTTTATGGGGGTGGTATCGTGTGCATGTGTCGTTCAGAGGACAACTTGCTGGAGTCAGCTCTCTCCTTGCGTTAAGTGGGTCCCCGAGATGGAATTGAGGTCGTTAGGGTTGGTGGCAAGCCACCTAATCCATTGAGCCATTTTGCCAGCCCTCTGGTTATCATTTGGGGCTTACTCAAGAAAACTGAGGTATGGAAAGGGTTAAATAACGTGAATCAGGTCACGCAGTAAGTAGTGCAATTACTGATGGAATTGCAACCAGGGCCAGCTTTGAGGACTGGTCCTGGTCTTTTGGGGGGCTCCAACAGTGTCGCCACTTGACTTTTATCCCTTTTATCCTCAGGATCAGCAACGTGAACTGCCTTTTTCACCAGGTCTTCCAGGCAGCCCTGTGTCTTTCTCTGGGAGCCAGTGCAGCCATCTGGGGGCGCCATTTCACAAATCAGAGATCATCCCTCTGAAGTTCCTCTGCTTCCTTCCCTCTGGTCAAACTCTGAGATCAGAGCTGTTACTCCTTGCTGGAGAGAATGGCTTTTGGAGCAGGGAGGGACACAGACTTCATTTCTTTGCCTTTGGCCTTCTGTTCTACCACCACTAGCGAGGACGCTGGTCTCTGTCAAGGAGGACAGGAGCCAGCGTCGCAGGAGGCACATCCCACTTTCCCTTCTGTTTCTGGGACCCCAACGGTTTAGACGCAGATTTTCCAAGTGATCAGGCCTGTGACCCGGAGCTTTGACTTCTTACTTTAAGAATTGACTAGACTGAGGGCAAAGTTTGCTAACTCCTAAGACAAGCTCTTGCACAAACCCTTCTATTTAAGATTTTAAGAGCCTCAGATTGGACCGGGGAAAACCAGCCAAGGGGCAGGCAATGACCTGACTGCAGGTGCCCACTGCTAGCTCCAGGGCAGAGACTGAGGTGGGGCTCAGTGCCCTGTTTTCACCAGGAGGGAAGGACCTTGGAGATGGAGGCATGGACTGCAGTTAGGGAGGTGCCAGGCAATGGTGGTTCCCTGGTGGCAAAGCCAGTCATCCCAGGCCTGATCTGATGGTCACCTAATCAGAAGGAACTCACTCCCTCAAGGGAGAGCTGTAATTGCCTAGGACTCTGGGCCCTGTGGTTGGCATATTCCAAGCCCCATGTGAACCCCTCAGGTTCCTCAGCCCTCTCTGTCCCAAGTACAGCAAACTTATTCATTGACAAAGGCCAAGTCAATGATGGATGCTTTTGGAAAGTATATAATAAATGGCTAAAGAAGGCAGACACCACTGGGTGCACCTATAGTCCCAGCACTGAGGAGGCTGAGGCAGAAGGATTGCCATGAGTTCAAGACCAGCCTTAGCTACATAGTAAGCTCCAGGTGGGTCTGGGCTACATAACAAGATCCTGTTTCAAAAAAAGAAAAGAAGGAAAGAAAAACAACCCACCCAAACAAAACAACCCAATCCAAACCAAATCAACAACAAAAATTGCTAAAGGGTACAGCCACTCCAACGCAATTGAAAAACAATTACACCGTCTTTCATAACCTGCTGTTGCCACAGGACTTGTTCTTGCTCTTGCCCCTCCACAGGTGGTTCAGCCTCTGGTTGACTGGAGATGGGTGAGAAAGCCATGCTCCTCTCCAGAAAAGACAGAGTACTTCACAGAGTGAAATGGGGGAAGCTCCACTTTCCATTGCTTCTGTTCTTTCAATGAGAAAATGGCTGGAAGAAAGAGTGGGCCATGTCCTGGCATTCTTGGGTTGCTTCTGCTTAAAA